GTTAAAGAAATATTGAATAAAAAGTCTACTTATGGTATGAACAACAAACGTACGGCTGTTGAGTCTTCCAAGGGACTTTGTATAGATCGAGCGAGACGACGCATATCAGTCTTGCCAATTTGATGTATCAAAATGACCGAAAAGAGTCTTCACTGTCGTGAGACTTAGGTTTAATAGAAGTCGTTTAATTGGACGAGAGCTATGAAAATCTGGGCATAAGACTGTTGGACGAGAATAACAGCCACCTGAACCGTCTATCGACCAAGTGTATAATAACAACCCTCCGTGCTGAAGTGACTATTGAATGTATGATTGTGCTGCTCGTTGCTAGTCACGAAAACCTGGTAATATGCTACCCCGCCGTCAGGTACAATGGAAAGGAATGAGCATGCAGTGCCCATGTTCGAGAAAAATGCACAATGATACAGCGCCTTTCTTGAAATCAGACGCTTGGAGAGACACTTGGTCCCAATGGTTCGCTCCTTGATTGAATCCTTCGAGAATAAACAGGACACTTTAGTCCTCCATAACTAGGAGCAGCTCCCCCGGATTGCCCAGTCTGAGAGCTAGTTTCCTCATCGCCGGTCGCGGTCGTAGACTTTGAAAATCCTTCTGCACTGCACCCGGCTTTCGCGGGCGGCTGTATAGTCTGGAATAACTGATACGGCGCTGCGACCATCATAACTGGAGAAGGGAAGTGTTGTATCAGTTGGGCCGGAGCAATCCCAGCAGGACTGAGTGGCGACACGTTCTCGATGTACTCTCCGCTGTTGCAATTCAGCCTCATTGGACTTATAGTGACCCGCGGAGATGATGCAGCGACCGATCGAGGTGTGAAGGTTGGAGCAGCTGGGTTCAACTTCAAATGCTACATCGGAAGATGGTTAGAAACAGCCAAGCATGTATCAAGCTTAAAGTAAGGATAATACATGATTGGTCGATCTATACCTCTTTCTGATGGCTTGGAGTGTCCTTTGCCTCGGTTGCCGGAGATTGCTGCTGATTAGCAGGTCTAATCTTTAGCGCCGTAGAGCTTTCGACTTTCACCAATTCCGACTTGGTTTTGTCAGGGGTTAAGTCATTGACAATGCCTGAGGTCTTCTTTACTGACGTTGGCTTGACCTCAGTAGCGTCTTTCACTTTCGGCTTGATGAAGATCTGCTTGGACCAAAGCTCGGCATACTTCCCATTTGCTCGGATCAGGTCTTCGTGGCTTCCCTCCTCCACGATTTCTCCGCCGGTAACGACCATGATCTTGTCGGCGTTCATAATAGTGGATAGTCGATGCCTAAATCTCTGTTAGTATGGCACACAACGGTGGTGATTTTATCAAAACATACGCAACAATGAACGTCGTGCGTCCCTTGCATAGTTTACCGAGTGCTTCCTGAATCTTTTGCTCTGTCTCGGTATCGACTGCAGACGTGGCTTCATCAAGCAATACGATAGCAGGCCTCTTGAGGATGGCACGCGCGATAGCCACCCGTTGCAACTCGCCGCCGGAGAGTTTGACACCACGCTCGCCGACACGGGTCTGATAGCCTTTGACACTATTAGCTTCAAAGATCCAACTTCGCAGACCAGATTATCTACTCACCGTCTGTGAAGGTCAGGATTTGCTCGTGGATACTGGCTGCCTTGCAAGCTTCGTAAACCTCTTCGTCAGTGGCTGAAAGCTTTGCGTAGCGAACATTGTTCATGATTGTGTCATCAAATAGAATAGAATTCTGCGGTACGACACCGATTCGGGCTCGCAAGCTACACGTTGATATTAGCTCCTCGGCCCACCAGATATCCGCTATGGGTACTTACCTAAACAGATCAACGTCCCGAATATCTTGCCCATCAATCTTAATTAAGCCACCGGTTACATCGTAGAAGCGGTCGAGAAGCTTGAGCATTGTTGATTTTCCCGCTCCTGTAGCCCCGACGAAAGCCACACTTGTTCCAGGATCTACCTGAAAGTTGACGCTCTTCAATATCGGTTTTTTCTTGTCGTAGGAAAAGGATACGTTCTCGAATTGAACATGTCCTCCTTGAAAGTCGAGTGGCGGTGCCCCTTCTTTGCTGAGGACAGTCGGCTTCATTTGCATGATGTCCAATAGGGACTCAGCGCGAATCAGATCACCCGAAATGCTCTTCCCAAGCGAAGCAAAGAAGGTAAGCGGGGAAACCAACTGAGACCAGTAGGTCAGCAACATCACGAACTGGCCTGGAGTCGCTTGCCCTTGTGTAATCTGGCTTACAGCGAGGAAAGCCCCAGCTAGAAGACCGCAAAGTAAGACCATCGACTGGAACGCATATGCCAGATAGTACCCCAGAAGGACTTTCCGATAATGCCCAACGTTGTTGTTAACAGCGTCGGAATAGCGGGTTTCCTCATGGCTGATCTGATTGAAAGAGCTGACAGTTGACCAGCCCTGAATCCCGGCATGACGGACGTAATGTTCCTCAAAGTAAGCGCTCACTTGGCTCCTCCGAACCTCCTTTAGTCCTGACAGCATGATCGCCGTAATATAACAGAAGACGGTTGCGGTCGCAATGGTGATGAAACCCTCGTAGGGGCCGAATGTGACCGAGAGGTAGATAAAGGCAACTCCCATGTCAATGAGCATGGGAATAGCTTGAAAACAAATGGACTCAAGCATATTTGATATGCTGGTACCCGACATGATCGCCATCTCTATATCTGAACAGCTCTTGGAGTCGTGAAAATCGGATGATAAGTTGAGAACATGCGAATACGCAGCCGTGGAGATGCGAGACGTGGAGTAGCTCTCAACTGGAATCCATAACCACTGGCGTAACAGCGAAATGCCAGCTTCGGAGGCAGTGAGTTTGAGGCCTGCAAAAATGAGAACCTGTGTCCATGGATCCTTGTGATTGACTCCCCCAAGACTGTCCATGACAATTCCTATTTGTCGTGGAATCAGCACATGGATAAAGTTCATGGCCATCAAGCAGCAGCCAACGAGAAAGACTCGAAGTTGGAGTCCTCGATGGCCGACGGGCCAGACATACGGAAAGAAAATCTAAACGAATCATCAGCATTATGAACATGTGGCTTTAAGCGAAATCCTCGAAAACGAACCATGAAGCTCTTGGCGTAGGTTACCCAGTTTCCTTTCTCTTTCAAGCGTTTCTCCATCAGCTCGGCTGCCTGTCGCTGTCGTCGTTCGTAAGGGGATTCGACGCGATCATTCGGAGGGGATGAGCTTTCATCGGTTGAATTTGTCGAGGTAGATCCATAGCCATTAGTAGAGTTGTCACCGTCCTGATTAGCGAATACCTCGGTGGTCGAACTGCTATTTGATGCCTTCAGCAACCCTTGTCTCTCGGCATCACTACCCTTCTCCCGCCTAAAGCTGCAAGTAGCTGTGATGTGAGCCGCTACTGCTAGGGCAAGAGCAAGATACCGGGCGGAAATGGTGGAGATGCTGAAGATATCGGAATAACTCAGGGTGGATGATGATCGAGTAAGGAAAGACAGGGCCGCAATTAGGGGCTCGAGAAGCAATGCCATGACGAACGATCCAATGAAGGGGTACCACACGGGGGCTTTTGAGTGTACGAGTCCAGCGAACTCAACGCCAAACACCAAAATACAGGAAAGGAGGCCAATGGTAACGTCTTGCTCGGCAGGGAATCCGTGTTGGATGAAGGATTTGACACCCAAATCAATGAGCTGCAACACATATGTGAGGATGATGAATACGAGCAGCCAGAGTATAGAACGTCGACGACCATGGTTTTCTTGTGCTGATTTTGTTTGCAGCGTGCACACAGCTAGCGTTGTCGAAATAATGTAGTAGGTAAACACGGCCGTAGGATAACCGTAATGAAGACATAACAATGCCTGTTTGACCCGAGGATCAAAACTGGCGTGAGCCAAGCTGCTGTCCTCAAAGTTTGGCATCGTTTTGACGAACAGCCGAGCGTCAGCTCAGAGGCTCCTGTAAGCAATGCGGCTGAGTGCTGTCGTGTCAAGGATAAATGGTGTGTATTCGGCCAAGTAAGGCGGGTTATGTTGGTGGGTAAGCAGATCTAATCTGTTGTCCTTCGTTAGCTTTTCCCAAGAGAACAGCTCATGAAAATCATATACGGATCTTGTTATGGGAAGGGACTTTACCTGGTGGCCCAAGTTCGTTTCTGAGATCATAAGTGTTGGAAGATGGTCAACAAGGCCAGCTCGTTTCGCCCGAAAATCACTGTCGAGGTACCGGACAGCTTCTGGCTAGAAGTTTCGGAAATGGTGGTAGTCGAAGAAGAAATGGAGGGGAAGACGATGGAGTTGTGTCTCAAACAGATCGACCACGGCAAAGTTGAGCCCACTTGGAAGCAGCGGTACCTTCCCTAATATCGTTGGATAAAAGCGCCGCCTGGGAGCTTCCAATTCGTTGATTCGAGGGATGCGTCCGAGCTTAGGGTGAAGGGGAACTAACAGGAGGTTTATGTCACTCCTCTGTGAAAGGGAAGGTATGGTACTGCGCGAGGCGGCCGCAACAAAGAAGCCCAGGCACAGCCGTCGTCTAGCCAATAACACAACAGCTGGTTGAGAGGGAAGGCACGCTTCTAAATTTCGGTAATCCTGCTGCAAGGCTGAGTTTGAGGAAGGCAAGGGCGACTTCAACAGCTGAGCCAGAGGCACCTGGGGCAGTGATGTAATTGAGGAGTCCTCCCAACTCCCAACGGCTGTGATCAATGGTAGGCAAAGTTCCCGTTGCTGCCTGTCTAACTGACGAAATACGAAGCGGCAGATATTTGCTCTTGAGGGTTCTGGCCGTTGTACCTTTTTGCCGCCTTGATGAGAGTACACTAGACACCTGAATGGCCCTGGCACACAATTACTTCCAACTTTGACCAACCACTGTTTCCTCAGCGGAAAACAAGCTGGGCTATCCTCTGTTTCCAGGCTTTTGAGCTGATCAAACCAAATGTCTGTTTGGGAAACTGCTCGTACCCGTGCTTTCTTCGCAAAAAAATATGCCCAAGAGAGATGGCAAAAGTCCAGCGTTGTCTGTGATCTGATTCCTGTCAAACTGGAAGATCACTAGCTTGTCCTGGGGCGCTGCTCGTTTCTTCTGGTGCTGGCTTCCTTTCCACGTGTTCTGTGTTGTTGTAACAGTTGCTGGTGCCTCCTAGAGTGATCCTTTCTGTCTGGTAGCACGTTTATATCCGTATGTCTTGTTTTGTTTGGCTGACGTCGATGATTCCTTGGGTTTTCAAGCCTCGTCGAGCCGCTCGGATCTAGAGAGTTATCGATGACTCTTTGAACCTTGCCATATATGCGGGACAAGCCGCTTATGAGTCGGTTCTCCTTGCCGAGCTAACAATGGGCATAGTGTGTTACAGAGCGCGGGAGAAATGAAGCCCTCACTATGTCTAGTTGACACAAAAAACGCCTTATATATGTTGTCCCGATGCGTACTATGAATGTACCACGTCGGATCCTCTGTAAGCTTGCAATGCGCAAACTTGAAAGTTGGGAAGCTGTCTGATGTCGTGTATGTCCAAGCCTAGCTTGTCCTTCGATATCGGAAGATGTCGAACTAAGGGGTCGGCATAAATGAAGACTGGCTTATTGTGCAAAGAGGAGAGGAAGAGTCAGCGGATGCGTGGGAGTATGCATGGTATCTGACAGTTGGAAATAAGGCGGTTCGTTGCGAAGACATCAGAAGCAGGAAAGGCTGACCATGAGTAGCGCAACCAGAAAAGAATACTGCCACGTCGCGAACGAGTAGGAGAATATGACAGGATGGTGTTGGGACAACTAGCCAAAAGAAAGAAAGAAAAAAGACACAAAGTTATTGTAAGTTACACAACTAAGCCAACCCGGCGGCATCTAAGCTCTTGTTCTACGCCATCTCGTGTGTCGGACATGGAGGCGTCTGGTGGGATGGAGCAGCCCATTGTGTCTTACGCTTCCCAGCTGGCATGCTTCGCGTGAAAAGAAAGAGACAGTGTGCAAAGGACCCTAGGCACGCCCAATGTGGGCGTCGACACACAAATTGGCAGAGTCTTCAGACTTGAATGCAGGAAAGCCTTGTGAGGCCATGCTCGATCGACGGGACTTGTTAGCTCTTGGTAGGTATGGCCATATTCTCTTTTTCCTTCTTCCTGACTTCCAGCATAGTTTAGTGGCGCCATGAGGTTGGGATGCTTGTTGCTCTTGCGAATTGACCCCTGTTATTTCCGCCAAGCATCTAATAGTCTCCGTGAGCATCTGTCGTCACATTTTTGATCAACACAATGACAAAATTTGTGCTGTTGACTCCATGAGACGGGTTCGGGACCATCCGAATCATACATTCCGATAGGTATTTCTGACCTTGGTCAATCTAGACTGAGACAGTCTGACCGCCGGAGAAAGGCCCGCACAGAAAACGGAAGGAGAAGCAACGAGAGCAGTCCTATGGATCTCCATTGCTACATTGCCAGCGAGCCTGCAAGAGTAACAATAATCGCTCCATGTGGCAGATTGTCGTGCTTCAACAAGCAACATGACAATGAAGGCATATGGTTATCCCCTGCTTTGTCGATGCTTCGCGTTGAATGTAGGGAGGACGTGTATCCTCTTGGCCTAGACTAGGAGCCTGGAGTCGATGCGATAAGAAGTAGGACGGCAGGCATCCTTTTCGCGTTGCACCGAGTATGCAATTGGTGCACAGCAGGGAAGACAGTTACCCATTAAACCCTGTCGAACTGTCGTCCCAAGCAAACTTCCGCTTCGCCGTGTTGCAGTGTTTGAGACGGTGCTCGACCGGCCCGTCAATCGAGTCTCAGACTACAAGCCTATGGTAATTCTTAACAAAAAGAGAGAAACTCGCTGTCAAAAGCTTGATCCGGTTCGAAGTGTCGTTTTCGGCTCCGCGTGCTCCACCCCGACGCCGGCCTTGGCGTCGGCGGTGATCCGAATAATCTCGACTTTGGTTTCTGTCCGGCTCGGTCCTATTCGGTCCCGCCATCGTGGGCTATCTCTTTCATCTAGGCACTATCACCGGTGTTCTTTTTTGCCCGGCCTGCGACTGAAACGGCTTTCTTGAATGCTTCATATAAGCCATCAATCAGTCTAGACCGCTCGAGATCAGCGATTCGTCATACCCCGTAAATAGAAGTGACGAAGCGCAAAGTGGCTTTGCCCTACTCCCAGTTTGGAACGACACTCGTGCCAGATGGGAATGGGTATGGGCGTATTGTGTGGCAACACAACGTTCGTAGGAGGGAGGCGGCGTACATGAATGACCGGCAATGCTGGGTTTCCAATTGCAAGCCCACGGGTTCCGGTCCCAGGAGAGATCATCGTCAAGCATCGCAAGGCCGGAGACAATACCTGCCGCGCCCTTCGGCCCAGTACCTGGGCTGTGTAGCATAGGTATGCAGGTCGGGTGGGACAGACGCGACGCAGACCACTTCAAGAATTGTGTCTAGGTAGACAGTTGATGTTGAATGCTGCCGAGAAAAGCGCTAATTCATGAGGCGAAAATGGCAAGCATATGGTGCCGCCCGAGGATGGAATTTAGTTAGTGCAATATAGTGTGTCAGTGAATTATGATTTAATAACCATGGGTGCATGGTCTAGTGGTATGATTTCTGTTTTGCATTGAAATTTCTATCTTGCTCTACAGACGGTCCCGCGTTCGATCCGCGGTGCATCCAATTCTTTTGACTTTTTAAGTCTCAGAAAGCTATTTTGTTTTTGTTGCATCAACATTGTACCAGATGCCTTGATTTCTTTATTTCTTTTTTGGAGATTTTTTTTTTCCGGCGAGTGCGTGTTTTTGTCTTGCTGAGATCGGGTCACTTGACAGTCTCGACCAATGTACTGGGGCTTATCACATGTGAGATCTGGCGAATAGAGAGAATTAACGACACCAAGTCTCAGCTATGGTCTACATTCGCACGGTACCTTTGCGTATCATTGCTTAATGAAATATTTTTCAAGCACTATAGGCCATTGGAGGCGGTTACTCAGCTTGAAAACAAACCAACGGAGGAGGCTCGGGAGGGGGGAGATGATTCAAGCACAGGCAGAGGATCGATACCAACGTCCTATCCAAAGAACCAATGTCATTGTTCTGTACAAAAGCGGGTATCGCTTCAAAACGCCTATATCTGTTTCGCTCCACAGCTCTTTTGTGACTGCCCTCAGTCCCGCTATTATATTGTACAGTGTGACCATTTCGTCATGGCACCAATCTTTGATCCGTATGCCCTTATTCAGAGTGGTGTGTTTATGCTGGAAATGCTCAAGGCGCCCGCTCCGTAGCCTGCCTTTCTATACATGTGCGACGAAGATTCCGAAACTCCCAATGGCCCCCATGCGACCAGATCCCAGTTTTGGTATGATACATTTATTCTTGGTTGCCGCAACCGATAATAGTGTAGTGAACATAAACAAGCGCTTGACGCCGAGTGGTGATGTGGCAAAAGCGTGCTCCTTCACCTTAAAAGACACGCTCGTTGGAAAAAATGCGGGCTTAGATGTAATCACGCCCGCTCTTCTGCATCTCGATCAATCTCCAGCCCCTGGTCTCGGGGTTGTTGACATCCTCAGGAATACGAGTAATGCCAATGGCGTAGGTCACAAGCTGAACCTTGTCCTCCATACCGGCCGCCAACTTTCCAGTCTTGGCGTTCTTGTAAACGTGAACTTCTTGAGTCCTGCAAGTGATGACGAAAACAGGAATGTCACCAGGCTCAAGCATCCGCGCCTTGAGAACATCAACACCACGGATGTCGAGAATGCGTCCGTCGGACTTGAGACCAGCCTGGAGGTACTGCTTGGTCAAAGCCTCATAGACGGAGTACTGGGCCTCCGAGAGCCAGAGCTTCAGTGTTTCAACATCGCCCTTGACGTACGCCTCGAGGACTTCAGGAAGGATGTACTCGCGCAACTCCATAAGGAAATTCTCCATGTTGAAGCCGGGGTCCAATTCGCGAAGCTTCTTGATGACCTGAGCGGTCTCGTTTTCGGCGAAGAAACTGCCGATCTTGTCGGTGATACTCCTAGCAGTGGAGATGAGGGGGTTTTCCGACTCCTCGTAGACGGTCTTCAAGCCGAAAACATTCTGGACGAACTTGTTGGAGTCGCGGAAATCCCTCCATGCCTCCTTCCAAGCGGCATCTTTGTGGAGAGTGACGTTGGTTCCGGCACTGAAACAGTTAGCAAATCGACCAGATATGTCCGCAGGACTTGTTCTTACTTGGGATCCTCCTCAAGGATCTGAGGGCCTTTGCCAGCTGACTCCTTCAGCCACTTCTCTCTGCGTTTCCTACGCTCCTCCTTCTCAGCCCAGCCGCCATATCTGGAGCTGCTTCCGTCATCGATGACGTCCTTCACGTTCTTGTAAGCCTCAGTCTCGCGGATAGGCTTCGTCGCCTTGTCCAGAACCTCTCCGGTGATGTTGGCGCCCTTACGCACTCCCTTCATCACTGGCGTCTCCCAAGTCCACTGAGCACCCTTGCCGACGGCAGTCGCGGTGGTCTTGACAACCTTGCCAGCCGTAGAGGAAACAGTACCAGAGGTGGCTTCGTACGCCTGTCGTGCACGGCGAATGGCCTCGCTCTCTGCGATCTGGTTGGCGGAGGCGGCCAATGCCTTGGTCGACTCGTTCCATTCCTGAGACTGCTTGAACTCGGTCTGCATGGTCTCCATGAAGACCTGCCAGGGAGTCTTGTCACCGTGGGGAGGTGGAGGCGGCGCATCCTCCTTCTTTTCCTTCTTGGGCTCACCCTCTGACTTCTCGCCCTCCTCCTTTGCTTCTTCAGACTTGGACTCTTTCTTTTCAGTGGGCTCTTGCGCCTTGGGTTCGGTCTCTGGCGTTTGCTGCTTAGGCTGCTCCTGTTGCTGCAGCGCGCGGGACGAGGCGTGGAACGAACGGGCTTGTATCGCGTTAGGGGTAAAAGGCGACCTTAGTAGAGGAATCTCCTGCGCGGAGATGGGCGTGGCGGGAGAGATGCGAATTTCGGTGGTGTTGACACGGGAAGCGCGGCTGGACAAGAGCCGGCTGGTCGCCGGTGACCTGACATGGGTGGCATGAGGAACGGCCGCGGCTCTCAACGGAGCACCCGGCGACGTCCTTAGGACATGCCTATATGCGTTCATGTTTGCTATCCCAGCTGGACCGTCCTGCGGAAAAACCTGGGAGACGGAGCCTTCAAGCTGATGCAGACAACAAGTCGAGGCACGGAAGTGGAGTGCGGAAAGTTGGCGGACGGAGGGCAATCAAGGGCCGAGGACAGAACTTAGAATTTGCGCGCAACCTAGGGAAAATGGATCGGTGGAAATTCTGCTGCAACGCCAATGGCCGGGCAAATCGATCCAATACGCGCTGAATTGGTCGGCTGGACACCGAGGGTCCCCCGAAATCTTTTGGCTTCTTTGCCCCCGCTCGGCCGCAAAACTGCTCCAAAACTGCCCCAGAACATTTCGTTCAGTCCCCCGCTGTCGGCTCACCCTTGTTACTGATGCCAAGAAAAGTGCCTGCCCCACCGCCGACCGGTCTCATGGTCGCCCTTGGTTCTGCAGCGCTGCCGCTTGCGTTGCCTGCCCCGCGGCCATCCACTCAAAATTTCGAGGACCTTTGAACTTCCGGTCGGCGAACGGGACGGGAGCCACCCACTCACGGCATTCGCACGCGCACCGCGTACCACGGAGCCACGGCCTCTCCACTACCTGTACGACTCGCTTCCCCCAATTCCGGCATTGTGTGCGCCAACTGCTCTTCCGCCCGCTCATTCAAGGTCACCTTTCCTTTGTCGTCCACCCCACCGTCGCGACAGCTCCGAGGAGCAATTGGCCAGCAAAGATGAGCCGCTTCTCTACCGGCCGCCTTCTGGCGCAGAACCTCTTCCAGGCCTTCAACAAGCCCGTTTTCCCCAGCGCCACGCCACTATGGACGCGGGCGTTCTCACAGACCGCCGCAAGGAGGGATGCCGACTCCGAAAGCTCAGCCAAGTTGATGGAGTCTTTGACTCGGGGCATTGTCGGCATGGCCGCAGATCCCACCGATTTGACCGGTGACAAGCTTGCAACCAACATTGGATTGAGGGATACCGAGGACGAGCCATACCACTTCCACATCTACTCGCACAAGCACAACACTCACATTACCGTCACCAAGCCGAATCGCGACGCTCTCATATCCCTTTCGTGCGGCAACCTTGGCTTCAAGAAGTCTAACCGCAAACACTACGACTCGGCATATCAGTTGGGCGCCTACGTGGTAGACAAGATGCATCAGATGAACCTGCACAATAAGATCAAGAAGATGGAGGTGGTCTTACGAGGATTCGGCCCTGGCAGAGAGGCGGTCATCAAGGTCCTGCTTGGAAATGAAGGAAGGATGTTGCGCAGCTCCATCGTGCGTGTCAGCGATGCCACACGCCTCAAGTTCGGTGGTACAAGGAGCAAGAAGCCCAGACGTTTGGGTTAAGCGAGTGCAGCTGGTCTTGGGGACAGAACTGGATGGGGAGCCGTCACAGCCTGGCTGGCAGCAATGGGCTGGCGGTCGTGTACATGTCATGTATAATAAAGAATCTGTCATTGAATTGCATGTTAGGATACCCGGAAGGGGACCGCATGCCGATCCGCTTCCAGGTTCTGTTCTCTTCATTTCTTATGACATTTAGAAGGGTGCATTGAGGCTCAGCGAGTGTGTTTGTTGCTGTATAGGCCCAAGGATGAGCTTCCGGATGTCCCATTGCGTTAGAGATCACGGCGAGAAACACCGAATCGTTGGATTACCTTGGTTCCGATACTGTAGCGTCCCTCTTGGGAATCTACCGGCAGCCCGGCAAGAACCGTACTGTCGGACCCACTTAAATTTTCAATTGTCGGCATGGCTCCCGGCGAGCTAAACGTCAAACATTAACCAAATTCGGATGAATTCCACCTTATCCCAGACCTCATCCGACCCGGAGCCCTCTCAATTCTTGCCGACCCATTTCGGCCTTCGACCTCTTCCGCAAAGCCATGTAGAATAGAGAACTTCGACCACAATGTCGACCGATCCGCAAACCCCGCTTACAGCGGGATCAATTCTCAACCTCGATGTGCTCTTCAACAATCCCGTTTTCGCCGGTGGCATGGGCCTCGCCGGCCTTGGCGCCGCCGCCGCCTTTGGTCGCCGGGCTGCCATCCGTGGTGCCGGATTACTGAAACGTCAGATGCTGGTCAATGTCGAGATCAGCAAGCGTGATCCTTCCTATAACTGGGTCCTTGCCTGGCTGGCGCTGCCGCGAGACAACACTGGCTTCATCGCCCAGCGACTGACGCGGCTCCGCAACCTCTCCGTCTCTACCACCACCAAGTCTATCACCCCCGGCAAGGACGAAGGGAGCTCGCACGCAGATTTCCGCGTGCAACCCGGCTTTGGCCGCCACATCATCCGGCACAAACCCGGCGTGTATATCGCCGTGAACCGGGAGAAGGCGAGCACGACTCAGACGGCAACGGGCGAGCCGCACGAAACGCTGACCCTCACCCTCTTGTGGCCGCACCGACATGTGCTGGGCGAGATCTTTACCGAGGCGCACCAGATGGCGCACCGCTTCCACGAAGGCAAGACGGTCGTCTACACGGCGAAGCGCATGGAGTGGATGCCATTGGGCAAGCCCAGGCTCAAGCGGCCTCTTGGTAGCGTCATTCTCGACAAGGGCGTTAAAGAGAGCATCGTAGACGATGTGAAGGAGTTCTTGGCGGCCCAGCAGTGGTACACCGACAGAGGCGTGCCCTACCGTCGTGGCTACCTTCTCTATGGCCCGCCCGGTACAGGGAAAACGTCCTTTATCCAGGCGCTCGCGGGCGAGTTGGATTACAGCGTTGCCATGATCAACCTCAGCGAGGTCGGCATCACGGATGACTTGCTGGCTCACCTGTTGACCCAGCAGCCTGAGAAGAGCATTTTGGTTCTGGAAGACGTCGACGCCGCGCTCGTCAACCGGAGACCGAGGGATTCTGATGGCTACAGCGGCGGCACAGTGACGTTTTCCGGTCTTCTCAATGCCCTAGACGGTTTGGCTGCCGGCGAAAACCGGATAGCCTTCCTCACCACCAACCACATCGATCGCTTGGACCCGGCCTTGATCCGTCCTGGCCGTGTCGACATGATGATGCGCATTGGCGAGGCAACCAGGCACCAGGCTGCCGAGATGTGGGATCGCTACTATGGTGACATTGACGCGGACCATTCCGGCCGCGAAAGGTTCCTCAACAGGCTAGATGAGCTCGGACTCTTTGGCGAGAACAACCAGGACCCCGATGCCCCCAAGAGACATACCTCGACGGCGGCTATCCAGGGTCTGTTCCAGTTCAACAAGAATGATATGGAAGGCGCTATTAAAATGGCTGAAGGCTTGATTCCCCGGACCTTTGTGGCCGAAAACCCTTCAAGTGATGGCAGTATGAAGTCTCCGGCATGAACGAGGATGGACGGCCTGGCACGAAATCATGTACGAATAGCTGTATAACAAGACATTGTTAAAGAACAAAAAGAATGATACCCATTATAGCAACCCGTCTGAGATGCTATGTTTGAATGAAGTATTGAATCCGCTTTGCTATCATTGTCGTCATGTCAAGGCTATGTATGGTTCATCGTCTTCTCGGAAGTGACCATCATATCTAGAGAGCAGGGTTGACTCGACTAGCGGGCTCGAAGAAGTGTACAGTCTTTCTAGATGACACTTTCGATCACGCTGGAGTGGGAGGGTCAAATAACAGGGCATGCAGAGGGTTCCTTTCCCGAATCATCCTGCACAATGAATTTGATTACAACATTTTCTTGAAGTGGAACAGCCAGGTTCGTCTTTTTCAACGTTCTATATCATGATGCTGTTTGGAGTCAAAGACTTTTTTCTACTGGTGGTTTAGCTCTTGCTTCCTGCTTAAATCTTATTTCCGCTCTTTCCAGATCCGCCTCACTCCTTCCTTTGTGACCTTCAAATCCATCATATAAGCCCAACTTTTCCCACCGAGCTCACGCATATAGCCAAGGATGTCTATATCCCACACTTGCAGCAGTGACCGTACCTATTCTGTAGACCTCCAGTTCAAAAAATGACTGTTATTTCTTTTCGTCTTCTCATCTCAATAAGGAAGTGCCGTCCAAGATAATGCATCGTGACGTCGAACCTTGGAGGAGACCTTGGAAAAAGAGGGACAGAAAGCTGGCTTCTATTTATGTTTCCGGCCAAACGCCTCTACAACGGAACTATACCTGAACCTTTCTCTCGACGGTCATTGGTCGAAATTTGCTGTCAGAGTTGACAGTACATGTACAGGCGCATATTTCCAAGTTGCTGTTGGACGCTTAACGTGACTTTCGCCAAGCCGTTGCCTCCCTGTTATCTGATCCCACCTTCCCTCCAGGGCAGGATCCGACATCCCTCTCGTCTTGAACTGTAGATTGACTGTACAGACCCTGAACAGCCAGCAGCATTCGAAACCATCGATCGTTATCGTCGTCGTCCCTTTCATCTCAACAATTTGCCTTGGACATTCGCCTTGGACAATTCGCCTTCACCCGATCGCAACGTTCAGAGCGGCAGCACTTCCCGTCATGGCATATTCATACATCTACCCCATGCTCCCCAGGCCCTCAATGCGGGCGCGCGGAGCGGCAGAAGGCTCAAAGGTAGGCGTGCAGTGTCAAAGAGTGTCGAGAGGCTTCCCGGTTTAGGCTCATGCTGAAGGATTGTTCAGAGATCGACGTGAATCGAGTGTGGCGCATCAACTGAACCGGCGGAGCAGTATCTCTGTAACTTGGCCATGGCAATTGCCGGCCAGGACCTAAATTCTCATGATCTTTATCCTCGATCGTCACTTTCCTGCTTCAGGTCGAGTCCTCTTTTGGTTCAGACGAAGCCTTTGCGGTCTTTGGCTCCCCTTCAGAGTCGAAACCAAGGGCATCCAATTCCCGGATGAGTTCGTTGATCTTGATAACCTTGGCGATCTGTTCAGGCAACAACGACTCTCCACCATCCTTCTTGTCCTTCAGCTCCTTGGCCTGGCGAAGCTTCTTCTTTAAATTCCGGGCCTTCTTCTCCTTCTCGGCTTCCGGGTCGAGCTCTTCTGGCTTGAGTGCAGGGGCCGCTGCATCAGCTGTCTTCTGATCCTCGCCTTCTATTTCGCCAGCAGCCTTGGCTTTTTTGCGCGCTTCCCGACGTTTGGCGTTTTTGTTTGCCGCCGCACTGAGCTGCTGGTCCGACTTGTCCTCCTTCAATCCTTCTGCGCCCGGCACTGGGCCTTTGCCGCGCTGACGAAAGCCCTCGGCGGTGCGGTTCTTGTACACCTCGACATCCTCAGGCGGGCGGTAGCCGGGGCGGACTTTAATAGCTTTTCTGGTACTCCCGTCGGCTCTCTTAGACTCGGGGATGACACGCTCGCCGTTTTTGTCAGTTATGATGCCGGAGTTTGTTGGCTGAGACATGGTTCAAGATTGTGGTGGGATGATTGATGTTCGATGAGGGGTTCGGCTAGGGTTACGGCGATGCCGTTCGACGACTCGGAAGTATTGAGTTTCGTATAAATTGATCTCTAATGGTTGATTCGCCGAAGCTTGGAACTCGCGTGTCGAGATTGTTGCTTTCGTAATGCGCACAGTTTGATGCGCATCCGTCGGACACGTCAATCGGTAAGTTTGTAGGAAGAAGCAAGAGATTGGAAAATGAGGACGACGTTGTGGTTGCGAGGTTGATCCCGCTTGCAGCTTGGCACGCTTGTGAGAGGTGCCAGCAGCCTTGGAGGCACTTGGAGAAAGTGGGTCATAGCTTTGACCAATCAGGGGAGCTGCATTTGCTCCGGATGGTTCCGGCCGGCGACATCTGCGATCTTCTAGGTTTCGCTGGGTCGGTTTTGTCCAGTGCAACGAAAAACATCGTGATTACTCGCGACGCCCATCTCCCGCACAACGTCACCGTCAGAGACGCAGCCGAACCACCGTTTACAGCCTCGGTAAATCTGCCAAAATGGTGAGCATCTCTCTGCCCTCACGTCAGTTCGGAACGCGTCAATGCTAATCGCGCATTCCCAATCTAGTCCGCTTTGTACAAGCAAGTATCCCCGCAACGCCGAGCGCATGCTCACACGTCTCCCACCCCCATCGGCCCGGCACCGGCCCCGACCCTATCTCCCGGGCCAAAGCCAAATCGAGCACCGATAGCTAACGGACATCCCAGCCTCCTCTTCCGCAACAACACCGCCTTTGTCGGCGCTGTCTTCGCTGGTGCCTTCGCTTTCGAGTTGTACGTACCCACGACAGTCGGATAAACATATGACAGGAAATCATGTGTCGCTGAACAATCACACCATCTAGGGCCTATGACAACGGTATGGACAAGGTCTGGGACAAGATCAACAAGGGGGTACGAGCCTACGACTGAATTGACACTGGTGTGGAACAGTTGCTGACGAGGAGAACAGCGCCAATGGAAGGACATCCGCCACAAGTACGTCGAGGCTGAGGAGTAAACATGACGACTTGGGAGCAACTTTTCAAGACATGGAAACGCCGACTCGATAAGGATCAAACGACAGCCTCTGGGAGAAAGTGGGACGTGGTCGACGGCCATTGATTGCTAGAGGAATGGACGACTTTTCCTGACGCTTCTGCCTACCAAGCCCCTATTTCTACCGTACTGTACAAAATCAATATTCACCATGGCGAAAGACACATAGACGAATGACCATAGCCCGACTACAAGGCTGAAGAGTAAGAGCATTGAGCAATCATCTCTGCCAGCTTTTGGATCTGAGGAACCTCAACATGAAGCAAGCCCGGCAACTGAACGGCCCAGCCTGGATTTCGGACGTGTGTATGTGTGGGCAATAACTGCTTTAAATTTCCCAGCGTTGCGTAGCAGGCTGAAGCGTTCGATGAACTGCGCAATTCGAGCTGACCTTCGCAATCTCTGACGTCTTGACGCAGTGGCTTTGATGGTCGGTCGGACGGCATGGATTTTTTACACAGCAAGCGCCAGCCCCTGGCAAGCTACGTTAGCTGGCACTGTGGCCTGTGGTATGTGGTATGTAGAGGTAGTAGAGTATAGAGGTACCTACCGGCTGGTACTCGACATGGTGATTATTCGGTGAGGAACCTCTACATTTGACCTACTAACTTTTTGTTCTGTCCCTACCGTACCTCTACCGGTACTTCAGGAGCAACACGGTGCAATGCACGAGGATGGTTATCAATATACGGTGCGGACGACATCAGGACGGGAGGTTCAGTTTGTAACAAGTCGCTCGGTTAGGTATAGTAGCGGAAGCACACGCGTACTTCTGAGGGTAAGCGTGGCCCAGTTGTAGTGTTTAGTTGCTCCCTATCATAAGCAGTACCATTCATAACTGTACGTCAAGAAGGGAACCGGGCTTCACTCTTCCTAGTACCCTCTACCTCTACTTAAAGGCCCGGAGTGCAGCCCCCCACTGACGTACCTCTACTCGCGTCAGTGCACCTTCTTGTTCACAAAATACCGAAGCTCGCTGCTGGATCTGTCTCGCAAATGTCGATAGGTAAAGATACCTCTATGGTGGGAATGAGCTACTATGGTCAAAGATGGTAGGAGCTTTTAATGGAGTCTCAAGTGTCGGTGCACTTAGGACTGCAAACCTACCTGGGTAACATTGCTCCGACGGCATGTCTACCACTGCAGTATTGAATTGGGTGTTAGGCCAAATGGCACCAACGGAACTCGCAATGGATCAACAGCGGCCATAGAAGCCCGATTCAACCCCCCCACAGGATCTGCAATTAAGAAGGAACTCGGAGGAACGGTCCTGACGGTCGGGTGTTGGTTAACCGACAGAAGCCAATCCATCGACGAGTCACAGAACGCCACCTAATTGACTCAACTAGTCTTCAAAGCCAGCCCCACGGAAAAGGAAAACTGCCCTGTAACCGCTGTTCGGTACCAACAACAAGCCAACAGCCCGGCTCGCTCAGGTACAGGGCCCAAAATTCAATAGTCCGACTGCCCTCGGCTGCCAACAATCATATTGGACGGGAAGGCGAAGAAAGGACCAGAATAACCTAACATAGGTACCTACCTACCTCTACACTTTAACAATCCAACTACCACGTCACAGAACCACATTCTTTGAGGCGGCGCCAACCATTCAAAGCTAATAAATACCAGGGTGCCTGCCTATCGCTGGCTCCGTCTACCCCGCGATCCCCTCTATCGTGCTGGTCATCGCTCTCAGCTCAGGCCCTTTTTTCGCCCATCTTGTTACCGGTCTGGAACCCTCCTCGATTTTCGAACGCAAACAAGCGGTGGACGCTTCAGATAGGATCCTTGGATACATACTGCTACACTCCGTCAGCGATTCTACTGTCTCGCGCAACAACAACATCATCATACCCTCAAGACACCGACACCATCGCATCCACCTCCTAAACACCGATCCTTAGACGACTGGTGAAGCACGACTCTGACATCGACAAAGTCTTCGCCTCAGAACCCGATAACGCCACCTGGATGTCTATACCGAGCGCTACCTAGACCCGAACACCGACGATTCTTCCACCATGGAAGCCCAGATGTCGACACAGGAGCAGCAGCTCTGCCAGGCCTTGCTGGCGATGCCTGGCAAATACCGATACCGCTACAGCGAAGAGGCATCGCGGGAACTTCTTCTCACCCTGTTTTGGTCCATGGCTGGTGGGAAAAACGAATACATGAAGCTCTTCTTTCCCCAAGGGGATCCACGAAACACTTCCCTCAAGCTCAGGGATGCCCAAGGCGCGGTCGAGGGCGCCGAATACACCGAAGCCGCGCGTGGCAAGGCCTGCGGTCACATATTCAAACAAGGAGAAGCATCGTATGCGTGCAAGACCTGTAGCGCAGACGACACCTGCTGCCTGTGCAGCAAGTGCTTCGAAGCCACCGACCACACAGGCCATATGGTGCGAATCAGTATCTCGCCCGGAAACAGCGGATGTTGCGATTGCGGAGATTTGGAAGCGTGGAAGCGGCCCATGTTCTGTACAATACATTCGATGTGGGAGGGCGACCGCGACAAGGGCAAGGGAAAAGCGACAGAACTTCCAGAGGATCTGGTCAGGAATATCAGGATGACCATCGGCCGCGTCTTCGACTACATGTGCGACGTCATCTCTTGCGCCCCCGAGCAGCTCCGCCAAACCAAAACTGTTCAGTCTATCCAGGAGGATGAGAGGCTCTCGAGGTTATCATCGACCTACTGCGGTGGAGAGACTGACTCGCCGGGGGAATATGCCGTTCTGCTATGGAATGATGAAAAGCACACCGTGGTCGATGTGCGTGACCAAGTGGCTCGGGCGTGCAACACCACGCTTGCAAATGGCTTGAAAGCTGCTTACGAGACCGATGCCATTGGTAGGAGTATCCTGATGTACGACAGCAGTCTGGAAAAGCTGCTCGAAGTAGCCGAGGTACTTGAGAGGATAAGGGTTACCGTTACCATTCGCTCTTCCCGGGATACCTTCAGAGAGCAAATGTGCGGCACCATAATTGAGTGGCTTAGAGATATCTCTGGCTGCCGAGTTGGCCACGACCATCAGCTTTTGAGAAACATCGTGTGCGAGGAAATGCTTAAGCCTTGGAGGAAAGGTAGCCCTGCGGCACATGCCATTGTCGGCAAAGATGGCATTGACGATGAAGACCGTATTGACCAAGAAGAGAACGTACCAAGCGGGTTCTACGAGCAGCAAGGCAGGCTTTTGCTTCAGGCACGTCAAGCTGCCCGTAGGATGGCAGAGGCTCGTGAGGCTGGCGAAGATGAAGGGGATGAAGACGATGAAGACGGGGACGACATCATTGTCTCTGGTGGAGAAATGGATGAAGATGAGGAGGGGGACGAAGATGTCATGATGCTTGACGAACAAGGCGACGCAGCTGGGGATGATGTTGCCATGACGGACTGGCGAGAAGTTAGGGTGGTGCAGGTAGCCCCGGCCGCTGCTGGTGGCCGTCCTCTTCCGCCACCTCCCCCTCCGGCACCGACTACTGCTACGGCTCACCGACGAGCCATTCGGGAACGCGAGCACACTCCTGATGATTCCGATACCGCCGAGCCGCTCATCGCGCCAAATATCTACACCAAGGCCCACCTCGACATTCCAAAGACCCCAGGCAGTCCGAAAGCCAAGACATCGCCTCCAAATCCTGGACGTTACTGGTTGCAGACTCCTGCCGGCTACGTGGAGGAAAGTAGCATTCCGGTTGCCGAAGACCTTTTCGAGCGAGTCCGCCTAGACTGGCTGATATTATTTGACTTGCGGATGTGGAAGAAGGTTCGCTGTGATCTTCGGTCATTATACATCTCAACCGTCGTTACGATCCCCGAGTTCAAACGTGTACTCGGCTTGCGGTTTGCTGGCCTTTACACCACTCTGGCTCAGTTGTACCTCATCGGCGATCGTGAGCCTGATCACTCCATCATCAATATCTCCTTACAGATGTTGACAACTCCCTCCATCACTGCTGAAATCGTTGAGCGGGGAAATTTCCTTACCAGTCTGATGGCCATTCTATACACATTTTTGACCACTCGTCAAGTGGGACACCCTTGGGACGTGGCAAGCAACGCAGTCTTGTCCTTCGATTCAGGCTCGGTTACGAACCGGCGCATGTATCATTTCTTCTTAGATCTCAAGTATCTCTTTGGGTCTCCGCACGTTCAGGAACGCCTCCGGACAGAGGAGCGATATATGATGCAGTTCCTCGACCTCGTCAAGTTGCATCAAGGTATCTGCCCGAACGTCAGGGCTGTCGGCGAACACGTCGAATATGAGACAGATAGCTGGATCAGCGCGTCTCTTGTCACACGGGAGATCAACAGACTTTGCAGACAGTTCGCCCAATCCTTCCGGAACGTCAAGGAACACGGTTTGCAGTATGTCAACAATGCAATCAGACTGGCTGCAAAGGTTACCATTATCAACTCACTTGGTGCTGAGCGTCACCGGTTTAACCAGTCAGAAATCAAGGAAGAGATTTCCTTTAGAAACCTTACAGATTTTGAGTTTGAGCCAACTGGGCGAAGCTTCAAGGTCGTCCACTTTGTGGTAGAAGAGCAACCTAACAGTTTTCATCATGCCCTTCACTACACCTTGTCGTGGCTTATCGAGTGCGGCAAATCGATGAGCGTTGACGACCTGCGCAAGCTCCTGACTTTCGAAACCTGCGATTTGCTAGCAAAACCTCAGCCGATGGGTCGAAAGTCCATGCCTCGTGGTAACTTCACACCGGAAGATTACCTCCTTGTGGCCTTTGATTTCCCGCTCAGGGTATGTGCCTGGCTTGCGCAGATGAAGGCGGGCATGTGGGTGAGGAATGGGTTGAGCTTGCGTCACCAAGGAGGGACTTACCGCGGTGTTAGCCAGAGAGATGTTGCTCACAATAGGGACGTATTTCTATTGCAGACCGCTCTTGTTGTCTGCGACCCAAGCCGTGTTCTTGCCTCGATCGTTGACCGCTACGGCATGGAGATGTGGATCAAAGGGTTCTTTGAACAAAAGTCCAAGGCCCAAGACGATGGTCAACATTTGGATGTTGTGGAAGACATGCTTCATCTGCTCGTTGTCCTCGTAAGTGACCGTACATCTCTTACGCAAAATGAGGATGAAGCTAGGCCCCTCAACTCGGCCATGCGTCTCAAAGCCAGCCCCCTCATCGCGGCCATGCGACGTGACCTCACGCACGTCCTTTGCTTCAAACCGTTGTCGTTTTCGGAAATCTGCAACAAACTGCCGGACAAGTTCCACGAACACGAGGACTTCCACAAGCTGTTGGACGAAATGACCATCTACAAGGCACCCGAGGGACTGACAGATGTTGGCACATTCGAGCTTAAGCCAGAGTTCATTGAGGATGTGGATCCTTACATCGCGCACTACAACAAGAACCAACGCGAAGAGTCGGAAATGGCATGGCGCAAGTGCATGGCTAAGAAGACTGGGCAGTCGATTGAGGATGTCGTGTATGAGCCCAATCTTCGTCCAATCACTTCTGGAGTCTTTGCCGGGCTGTCTGATTTCACCCGGACAGGCATGTTCGCCCAGATTATCTACTATTCCCTGCTCTACACTCTCTCATCCTCCAAGTTTACACCCCAGGTGCCCACGACTCGAGTTGAGACCTTCCTTCAAGTTGTCCTGCATCTGGTTTTGATCGCCATCAAGGAAGATAAAACAGGTGAGGAGGATGGTCAGCAACCGTCATTCATCTCTCGTTCTCTCAGTCACCAGGCGCGCAGCAACTTCATGCCAGAGAACCCTACGGCAAAGACCATCGTGGCACTCTTGAACCTCCTTACCGCCGAAGATGCTTTCAAGACAGTTCACCCCAAGATCCACTTGATTCTCAAGAAGATGCGGCAACAGCGGCCCCATGAGTTCGAGTCTGCTTATCATAGCCTTGGTCTCTCAGTAGACCATATTGACGCTGGTTTGCCCGACAGCCAGAACACTGACGAGGAGCGCGAGAAGAAGAAGAAGGCTGCACTAGCGCGTCAAGCTCGTGTTATGGCACAGTTCCAGGCCCAGCAAAAGAGTTTCATGGAGAAGCAAGGAGAAATCGACTGGGGTGATGTGGACGATATCGATGAGGACGAGGACATGCCAGCTGCCGAGGAGCATAAAAACTTTTGGAAGTATCCATCAGGAACATGCATTCTGTGCCAGGAAGATACAGATGACCGTCGCCTTTACGGATCCTTCGCCTTCTTCACTGAGAGCAACATTTATCGGCAGACTGATCTCCAGGATCCGGATTTCGTGAGGGAAGCGTTCAAGACACCCGAAAACTTGGACAGGTCTGCAGAGAGTATGCGGCCCTTTGGACTTGCTCATGAGAACCGCCAGATTGTTCAAAAGGTTGACCAGGAGGGAAAGATATTTGAGGCTGAGCGCTCCGTTATTGGCAAAGGCTTCCCATCGCACCTGTCTCGTTCCGGCCCTGTTTCGACTGGGTGCGGCCATATCATGCATTATGGATGCTTTGAAGCATACTTTGATGCCACTGTACGCCGTCATAATCAGCAGATCGCAAGACATCCGCCTGAGGACACGAGTAGGCTGGAGTTTGTATGCCCCTTGTGCAAGGCTTTAGGCAATGCATTCCTCCCCATCGTCTGGAAAGGACAAGAAGAATCCTATCCTGGTCCATTATCACCATGTGAGTCATTTAACACATGGCTGGACAAACAGCTGCATTCTGCATATTATGTCCTGGGAGCGGCAAGGCCTCCAGACCAAATCCAGCATTCGTTTGCAACGTACACGGCGAGAACAATGGTCCACAGTCTTGCTGAAGATTCAGCTCAGCTGTTTGGCGATGCCTGGGTAGACCTAGGGGCCCGTTCAAGGTCAAGCGGGACGCCATTCAGTGACTCCTTCTCGATCATCTCAGCTACTGAGGTTAGCAGCCGAGGGGCTACCCCTGCCGAAGGGAACAGCATGATGAGAGAGCTGGTCTCTGCGTACCGTCGTCTTCGAGATACATTGCGGAAAAACGGCATCAACTCGCACCATGATCTTCCGGAGACAGTGCGAGATGATGAGCTGGCTTGCAGCGATGCTCTTGCTCGCTCGGTGGGCTTTTCTATTGCAGCTATTGAAATTCAGCAGCGCGGGGTGGAAGTGGACTATGGAATGACCTTACTCGAGAAGATTCCTGAACAAGTCCTTACCCACCTCCGTATTCTGACTGAGACAGTGACGACTTTCATCACTGTAGGCGGACTCAGAGAGGCTGGAGACAACAGGATCGACACCGAGTTTCGGAGAGACAGCGAACGTCAGCATTGCCAGCTGTTCATTGCACAATATAAGGATGCCGAAACCGACAGCGCGAGACAACCTTATCGGGAGTATCCTCCCCTTCTCAGCCAAGATCCTTTCGTTTTCTTGTGCGAATGTGTCTTTGGCGTTGTCCCAGCACAAAGGTTTGAAATCGCCCACATCGTGAGGCTTTGCTACCTTGCCGAGATCACCAAAGTGGTTTACCACATGGGCCGCAACATGCCTGCCACTATGTGGATGTCAAAGATTTTCAGCGACCGCAAAGACGAAATGTCGCCCGAACTGGCTAACTTCGCTTCATTTTGCGAAACAGTTGTACGAATGGACTTGGGCTTTTCCGAGAGGTACAGGGTCCAAGGCTCTACTGGGGAGAACAAGGCGTTCGACCAGCCTGGATTGGACAGCTGGGAGGGCTGGTACCGGTTCATCAGGAACTATGCACTTACGTTCCTTCGCAAGTGCGCCATCCTGCTTTACGCAAGGTACAATATCGATTTCAACAGCCGCGTCTCGCCCAATCCTGAACAGAAGGAGCTCGAGCGCCTCACCGAGACGCTGAAACTTCCCTCATTCGACGCAATGCTAGCTTCCCTCACGCCGGACTCGCGAATTTCCCAGCTCGTATCTGGCTGGATAGAGCATCAGACTTGCTGGGACGCAGAACATTCAACCCTCGCCGCCGACGACAATAAGTTGTTGCCGCCTTCGGCAGTGCTGAGCCACCCGGGCATCTTCGAGCTTGTCGGCCTTCCCAAGAACTACGCCACGCTCATTGAGGAGTGTACGCGGAGGAAGTGTCCTACCAAGGGCAAGGACATTTCTGACCCTATGCTCTGTCTCTTCTGTGGAGATCTGTTCTGCGGTCAAAGCATCTGTTGCGCGGTAGAGGATAGGGAAGGCAGAGGCAAAACCATGAGGATTGGCGGTTGCCAGCAACACATGAGAAAGTAAGTTCTACATTCGGCTTTGACCTGAACTGCACCCTTTCCCCCCATATACCCCTCTCTATTCTATTCAGTCAAATGCCAACCTTTAATTCTTTTTCATCAGGTGCCAAAAGAACATAGGTCTCTTCCTCAATATCCGAAGATGCTGCATCTTCTACCTCCATCGCCTCTCAGGATCCTTCAGCAACGCGCCCTACATCGACAAGTACGGCGAGGTGGATCTCGGTCTCCGTCATGGACGGCTGCTTTATCTCCATCAGAAACGGTATGATTCCATGTTGCGCAATCTGTGGCTCAGCCATGGTATTCAGAGCTTCATTAGCCGTAAGCTTGAGGGGGACATCAATAACGGGGGTTGGGAGACACTTTAAGAAGAGGAAGTTGTATATATAAAAAGCGGGGAAGGAGCGAGCGGTGGATGTGAATATGGCTGTGGGTGCAATGCATTATTTCTGGCAAGATGGGGTATCATTATATGGCGTTATCCTTCATATGACAAACATCAGGGTGGATTGGAGGGGTGCTTGCCTTGGCTTCAATGTACCATTTTTATGGATAGCAGAACTATATAGGAGGTAGTGCCTCCAGGTTATTTTTTTTCTTTTTTTTCTTTTTTCCTTTTTTTTCTTCTTTTGGTCTCTTGCGGAATCATGATTCATCAGTTTCACACCCAGACGTATGCGGAAAAGCAGGCGAACAGCAACGCACTTTGGAAAGCTTGAACTTGGTTTATTCAGATTGATAGACGCGAGTACTCAACTCTCCGTTATTTCAAATTATTACCACCAGGCATGACTCGGAGCAACACATAGTAAATATTGCCCTGGTAAATCATCAAATGTCCTGACAGTCCTCTATATCTTTCTCTCTATATCGGTGTAAGATAACGGTATATACAAAACCAAAACATGCAACTGCAAAGGGGTATTTTAGACCGTGAACCACAAAAATGCCAGCAACATCCAGACCAGTTCGGTGTCTACCCGTGATCCCCTTGAAAACCCATGATCCGAGCCACATTAGATATAATCCTGTCCCATTTTGCCGCCCCCCGTGAATGACATAAATTCTAATAGCTAACGCTTGCTTTCAATGCATCATCATTTTTCGACACTCAAAACAACCCAAGAAAAAAAAAATTGTTTAAGAAGAAGGAAACATAAAAGAAAAAGCAAACTCCGCTCATCCGCTCCATAAATCATGGCGATGACAAGCCTTCCTTCTGAGGATCAACCATGTCATAAGGAGGAAGCGACGCCCCCGGCGTCGGCTTCGAGTTCGTCGTCACCGATCCATCGGAAGTGTTGCCGCCCTGAAAGTTCTCTTGACTTTGAGACGTAGGCGTGGGCGTAGCAAGATGCTCCATGCCCTTGATAGAAGACTTAGTAGCAGCAGTAAACTCCGCCCTAGCCTCCACATTGGCGATGGCGCTCTGCAACGCACTCGTCAAGTCGACGTGGAACAGCGGCCTGTTGATGCCGTGCACGGCCACGGTGCGGCCACCACCGAACCGCGAGCGAGCGGCGGCAGCAGCAGCAGCGGGTATCCTTTCGGAGCCCGAGGCCGTGGCCTTGAGGTTGCCTGCGGCTTCAGCGTCATCGGTGTTGGAGCCGGATTCGATATCCATCGACGAGCCACGTTGGTGTTGTTGAGCAGCACGTCCGCGAGAGGACAAGGTGGGGCCGAATTCCTTCTCGTTGACCTCCTGCTCTGCTGTGGCAGCAGCGCTCTGCTCGCCCCCTATCTCGGCCACGCTAAAAATAGACTTCCACCTGCGGATCTGGCCGTCCGGCAAAGTTGAGGGGTATCCAAAGCCGGCGGAGACAAGGGCGCGCTTGGTCCAGCGGTTGCTGATGCAAGCGACGTGCCAGTCGACGACGTCCGGGCTCGCGTACCGGTCGAGCTGGTTGCGCACGTCTATGAGCTGTTGGACCGAGGTGATGTCGATGTTGTTGACGGAGCTGAAGTCGAGGATGATGGCCTTGAGGGTGGGGAGGTGCAAGTTGACGCCGACTTCGTTGGAGTCGATACCGGCGCGCGTGGCGGCCTTGAGCTTGCGCTTGGAGGGGCCGGGGTCGTTCCAGGGTCGGTCGCCGGGCCCGTCAAAGTGCGAGAGCGTGGTGCGGCGCGTGTTCTGGTGGATGTACCGGACCATGTACTCGAGTGTGTGGCTGGCGTTGGGGTAGTTGAAGCCTTCGGAGAAGCGGTAGATGAAGATGCCTGGGTAAGGGTTGTCCAGTTCAATTTCCGGGTTGGAGCCGTCCGCGTGCGTGAGGGGGAGGAAGATGTTGCGGTAGGGAGCATCTGATGAGCCACTGCCGGCGAAGGTGCCGTAACCTCCATCCACGGGCTTCCTAGGATCGTCGCCGATGACGTGGTCGCCAAGAACGGAGTGAACCTTGACGCGGCCGAGGAAGCGGCCCTGGGCCTTGAGAATGCGGAAGAGGAGCACGGCGAAAGACAGGCAGACTGTGCAGTAGATACCATTCTCGATGGAGGAGAAGATGGTGACAAAAACACCGACGAAGAAGATGATAACTTCGAGGGGCGAGACGAGCCAGAACTGGTAGACGGTGTTGGGGGGTGTGATCAAATCGCCGACAGCATGAATAATGACGGCAGCTAGAGCTGCGTTCGGGATGTAGTAGAACACGGCAGGCAAGGCGTAAATAGCCAGCAACACTACGATGGCAGTGATGACGCCGGCAAAGGGCGTACGCACGCCCGCCTTAGACTTGACGGCGGTACGACTGAACGAGCCTGTTGCAGCATAGGCACCAAGGAAGGGGCCCAGCATGTTAGTGACACCAATGGCCACCATTTCCTGGGAAGGGTCGATAGTGTAGTTGTTGATACGGCCGAACGACTTTGCAATGGCAATGTGCTCGATCAACAAGACAATGACAGTGGCAGGAAGAGAACCAGCAAGCTTGCTTGCGAGTGTCTTGTCGAGCACAGGAACAGCAGCATTCCTGAAACCTATTGAATATAGTCAGTACTGGCACATTGATGGAAATTATGTGGGTGGAAAATACCTCTGGGAACGTCAAAGAGAATCTTGAACTTCGAAGTTCCTCTAGGAAGGTCCTTATTGGCCAACCAACTGATCATGGTGTACAAGAGAATCACAAACACGGTTCTCAATGTCGAAAGGAAGAAGGCCACTCGCTGGTGTTGCGGCCAACGCTTGGCAATATAGTTGCAAAGCGACCGGATACCGTAAAGCATGAAAAGTGCTGTCAAGCCCATTGCAGCATCCAGCTTGGTACGAGGCAAGCCTTGCAAGGTGTGGATGAAGACAAGATACGCCGGATCTCTGGTTGAGAAGCCCTTGATGCCCATCAAGGTTGGGAGCTGTCCGACGGCAATGTTGAGGGCCGAGCCGGTCATGAATGCCGAAAGAGAAGTAAGCGAGATAATATCGACAATCCAACCGCACCGAATCAGGCCAATGAAGAGCACAACAGCGCCGGCGAGGATAGACAGAGCAGAAGCGATAGCATGGCCCGGAACGTTGGGAAGCTCGGCCATGACGTTGGCAACGATATCGCCGGTCAGCGAGGAAAGGACAGCGACGGGGCCAATCGTAATATCTTTCGAAGTAGCAAAGAACCAGTAGACCAAGACGCCCATGAATGACGAGTATAGACCAAACTGGGGTTCAAGGTTGGCAAGCTGAGCATAAGCCATGCCCTGTGGAATGACAATGGCACCGATAGTAATACCTGGGCAAGGAGTAAGCTATACTGAGTTTGAAAAGCACACGTACAAGAGATGTGTGATCTTACCGGCTACAAGGTCGCCTAGGAGCCATTGTAGGTTGTAGTGACCAATCCAAGATGTGAAGGGGAAGAGGGAAAGAGCGTAGTCCCCCAACTGCCGTCCAGAAGGGATAACTTCCCTCAGGAACTCGACTGTATGAGGTGGTTCTTCCACGAAGGTACTGGTTGTATGGTTGGATACGATGGACTCGCCCCGAGTAACCTCATCGTATGGGTCTTTGTCTTGGAGTTTGATGCCAAGTGCTTTGGCTGTGAAGCGCCCGGCCTTCCCCCAAGCCGTAGACATGTTGACGGCTTGGTCCTTCTGATAGAACGATGGGGATGATTGTTGACAAGAGGATGATGCCTGAAGCCGTCAAACTGATTTAAGATATAGTCCGTGCTGGTATCGGCTGTATCAAGGTGATCCTAGCTTGCCAAATATGTGTTGCATGGACCAAGGTTGGAGTGGGGGTTGTTCTCAAAGATGCTTGATCCGGAAGGATATACAATGGGAAAAGAACGTCGTTTATGTGTGTCGTAAAATGTAAAAGCCTATAGTTGCGCTCGAGACTCGTTGAGAGAGAAAGTGCAACTAGTCGAAGTCGAGAAGTCTAGGACGATGTTGAAGATCGCTCTATACGGTATGCCTAAAGGCTGGATATGGCAACAAAGGGCCAGATGAGATGATGTAGACCGCCGCCGTTAAACAAGATATGGTTCGAATAGTGTAAGGGAAAGCAAGAACAGGAACATGGAAAATTATAAAAGGGCAAGTAAAGCTATACTAGGAAAAAGCCGACACAGGCGGCAGTGCGGCGTCACCCAAGGAACCGGGGTGTGGGGGGCCGGGGTGAGGCAGGGAAGAAAGTGCCCGGAATCTGTTTACTAACGCTCACAGCTGCAGAAGAGGCAGAAAGTGCAGGGAAGCGGAGTTCAGGAGGCGTAGAAAGGTGGGCACTTCCCTGATGACGTGATCGGCCTTTGCCCTTTCAACTCTAGTATCGAAAAGGTTATACACGCTTTGCTCGCGGTTCCGCTGCCGATTTCCACTCCAGCCACTGTACCAGTGGTTGTATTTGGCATGCCAACCTCAGGAGAGACCGGTCTTCTGTTTGCCAAGTCTCCGCGGTCGGTATTCGGGAGAAGGGAGACGCCGGTAGTTGAGACATCAAGATGATTGAAAGTGGTCATCTCAACTCTCACCGCGCTAGGTTTGCGGGGAGGATTCCTGCTTATGGGAGCTCCCGCTCTCCCGCACATGGGACGGTCTGCTCGGAGATTTTAACATAATGTTCATCGATATCTCCCTCCCATGGAGATAATAGTCCCTCATCACACCAGTGCTTGCTTTAGCATACCAAACGGTTGATGATCATGCGTGGATATAGAACGTCTTCCCACCAATAGGGCATGCGATAGGATGGAAGCTTTACGTGCAGTTGGGCTTCCGCACGTATATATATGTGCCCCGGTCACCGGATGTCATGGTCACACAGCGGGATGATGTAAAAGACGACGGGAAGGGACACTTGCACTGCACCCCACGGAAGCCATCAGCAACAACCATGCAAGATGTAACCTTCCAGAAGTGCCAGAATGGGTGAAAACATGGAGATGTGCGATCGTGGAAATGGTGATGGATCATGGGAGTTTGTCGGAGCTGGGGGGTTCTGGATGTCAAGAGTACGTACACTGTGTGGAAGTCTCGAAAGGAGGGGCCGGCTGCAAGAGGCGAAGACGCAACTTTGACCATCGATGGTGCAATTGCAGCCGCAAAGCTTGTCGATCGAGTGTGAGCTTCCCGTTGGACGTCTCTGTGCCGGTGACAAGTGCCTAGCTCCCGATCGTCCACATCCAACGCAACCCCAAGACTTGCTTACAAAAGCATCAGAGGGGATTTTTTTTTCTCCTTTCTTTTTCTTCCAAATGTGTCGCAACCACAATCGACAACCATCATAAACACCATTTTAGTAAACCTTGAATTGTCAAGCTTGGTATCCAACTCTGTGTGCTTCTCGTGATCAACTGGTCGGAAGTTCTTCACAGCGCAAGTCTTTGTAGGTATGGATACTCGAGGCACGATTGCCACTCGGCTGGTTCC